TGTAGTCGGTCCGAACCTGGTGGTGGTCGGGCTCCATCGAAATTAAGTATTGTATTGATATTGTTGTGGGCCCACGAGTGTGCTCGGCCGGGCTCCCACCATGTTGAGTCCTGGGCGCACGCACTCTGCGGCTCCTTGCAGTGTCTCCCCGGGGGTCGTACTGCCACAGCCCGAAGTGCCTGAGGACAGACTAGGTTTGAGCTGAGAGATCAGAGAACTTCTCCAGAAAAAAAAAATGGGCCAGAGAGGTTCAGAGACCTGTGGAGGTGACACAATTAGAAGCAAGCCTGACCCTCTCTAGGCCTCAGTTTCCAATTTTTAAAATGGAACCGATGTCACTACCGTCCTTTGCCATTGACTAAGGTCAATTGGCACTGGAAAGGAAGGTGGAAAGTGCATTCCGAGTCTGTGTGTGGCGGGTATGTGTCAAGGCTCTTGACTTCCCTGGGCCCCAAGGGATGTGCTTGTGGCTGGCTGGAAAGAAGCTCCAGATACTAGCAGGAACTGCCAAATCTCTGGAGGCTGGCCCTTGGCTAACTTATTGACCTTCACAGGGTAGGTCAACAGTGTGCAACCTCTGAGCACCCAGGGCCACCCAGACCGTTGGGCTGCGCTATGCCTTGGACAGAAAAGGATTTAGGACTGAGCTTTTTGAAAAACCAGAAGCACAAAGGAATCCTTACTATTCCCCCCCTCCCACCGATCTGTTAGACTGTCTTTGTCCTCCAAAAACAGCAGGTTCATATGTCTCAACTTAATATTTTAATCCTCATGACCTTTCAAGGAAGCGGGTAGTTACTCCTGGGATATAAATGAGGCTTAGACTTGATCAAATTTGTCGGTTAAGTGATAAAAAGCCTGGAATTTGCACTCAGGTGCCCGTGGACTCCAAGTAAGTAGGTTTCTCCCGGCTATGCTACCTGTTAAACTGATGGGGACCTTACCAAAGCCACAAGAAAATGTGATCAAAACCCATTTAATGTCACAAGACTACCAGGAACTTATAGCAAAAGTCTGCGAGCCCTCCTACATGCCCCTCTGAATCTTCCATCAATAATGCCCCAGTGAATTGCTTTGTGATTGAACATAGACCCTGAAGCCAGATCGTTTGCTGTCTCTTACTGGCAAATTATTTAACCTTTTTATGTCTGTTTCTTTAGCTGAAGACCGGAAATAATAGAACCCATCTAACAGAATTGTTAAGTTGAACTGTAAAGTGTTTAGAATAGGCTGGGCACACTGCCTTACTCCTGTAATCCCAGCACTTTGGGAGGTTAAGGCCAGAGAACTGCCTGAGCCCAGGGGGCGGGTTTGAGACCAGCCTGGGCAACTTGGTGACACTCGTCTCTACAATAAATCAAGAAAAATTAGCCAAGTGAGGTTGCACACACCTGTAGTTCCAGCTACTTGAAGGCTGAGGCGGAAAGATTGTCTGAAGCCAGCAGGTCGAGGCTGCGGTGGCCGTGAGCATGCCACTGCACTCCAGCCTAGGCAACAGAGTAAGACTCAGACTCCAAGAAAAAAAGAAAAAGAAAAAATTAAACTCTAACCGAGGAGCAAAATGAATTAATTTTAGGATGGAAGCTTAATAAAAAATAGAATTAAAGAAAATGTATGCTATTCTAAAGACCTTACACAGCACTCTAAGGACTTAGTGTTTATTTTCTCATTTGACTTTGTACTCCCTAGGGGCTGAATGCCTTCTTTTGTATCTATTGCTTTTAGCACACAGTCAAAGGAATAAATTTTTGTTGAGGAGGGTGTTGGGGTCTTGGGTTAGGACTGAGGGAGGTGGGAGCTGCCAGGTGCCTGACTGTGGTAGGCGCTCGGTAGATGTTTGTTCGTCAACTGACGTTTCCCTGCCAGAGGAGGAGGAAGTGGGGGCGGTGCGGTAGAGGCTGGTCCCATGAGAAGATTCCAAGGGACACATGCGGTCAAACAGCCTCAGAAGTCGCCCTCTTGAGGAAGTCAGGCTGAGGCGAGTGGTAGAGCACGGAGAAAAATACGTGGTGAGGGGAGGACTGTGGACACAGGGCGTGCGACCCGGGGCTGGGAAACTATGACCCGACTTCCAGGGGCTGTTGTGCAGATCCGTGCTGGGGCCAGGAGTGCGCACGGTGGTTTTGTTCAGTGTTCTCAGTTCACATACAAGCGGGGGTCAAGGAGCACCCCCGTTACATTAAGTCTCGAGACTGGAAGGTCAACCAACTTGACTACCCACTAGTTCCCAGCCTCTTTTGATGCTTGCATGGTCAATTTGCAGACCCCACTTGCAAATACAGAGTGCTGCAAGTGGCAGGGTGGGAAGGGCATGCACATTTACTGAGTGCCTATTGTGTTCCAGGAACAGTTGTAGCCTTGCAGCTGTGATAAAGGCACACCAGGTTCCCCCTCTAAGGGAGCTTACATGTGGGGGGTGAGGGGTGGATAATAAGATAATATACATGGCCCGGCTTGGTGGCTCAGCCAGTACTTTGGGAGCACTTTGGGAGGCCGAGGTGAGTGAACTGCCTGAGCCCGCGGATTCGAGACCCGCCTGGGCAACTTGGCGAGACCTCATCTCTACAATAAATCAAAAATTAGCCAGGCGTGGTAGCACACGCCTGTAGTTCCAGCTACTTGAAAGGCTGAGGTGGAAGGATCGCCGGAGCCCAGCAGGTCGAGGCTGCAGTGGCCGGGAGTGGCCACTGCACTCCAGTCTGGGTAATAGAGTGAGACTCCAACTCTCAAAAATAAAAAATAAATAAATCTTTCTAAAAAAAAAAGATAATATACATATCAGAAAGAAAAAGAAAAAATATTTGTTGAATGGATATCACACTTCCCCTTTTCAGTTAACTAGTATCATAGAACTTTGGGGCTGGAAGAGATCTTGAAGTTACCTAGTATAAACTCATTTATTAGTGGAGAAACTGATTTTGTGACAGCTGTGCCCAACCATCCTGGCCCGGATATGGGCAATTCCCTTTTCAACTCAATAAATTATGTTCACTAGAAACCTAAGAATAATAAATTCCCCCACCCCGCAAAAAACCCCTAGGTTGTAAGGGGATGAGTCTTCAGTGAAAGAATTGCCATTGCACACAGGGAGCAAAGCCCCTACCCTCACCCCTGCTACTCAGCCCCACAGTGACTGTGCTGGCTTCCCTGTGGAGCCTCGAGCTTCTCAGCTCCTCCCATCAGCATAGCTTCATTCATCTCCTGTGGGGTGGCAGGTGCTATACTAGGTTCTGAAAACCTAATGGTTGCAGACAAGGTCTGTCCCAGTCCCAAATCTTGCTTCTTTGTTGTTAGGGTGGTGGATCCTGGGGAGAGAGGTGTGGCTGTTAGGAGCATGGACTACCACCCTGGCTTTGGGACCCCCACTGGGCAGTCACGTCCTTTATCCTTGGCTACACACCAGGGTGATCCCACCTATTCCCTAGCCTTCTTGATTCCAGGACAGATGAAACTCTGTCATCAATTGAGGGCTCTGGTTCTGCTGTTCACTGGAGCCAAATTCCTTCACATAGACAAGTATCTAAGGTTAGACATTAGAAAGGATGGACAACAGTGATTCCTTTTTTTTTTTTTTTTTGAGTTAGAGTCTCACTCTGTCGCCCAGTCTGGAGTGCAGTGGCCACTCCTGGCCACCGCAGCCTCGACCTGCTGTGCTCCGGCAATCCTTCCACCTCAGCCTAACGAGTAGCCGGAACTACAGGTGTGTGCTACCACGCCCCGCAGATTTTGATTTATTGTAGAGATGAGGTCTCACTAAGTTGCCCAGGCAGGTCTCCGGGCTCGGTGGTTCAGCCTGTAATCCCGCGCCTTTGGGAGGCTGAGGTGAGTGTTGGGAGGCTGAGGTGAGTGGACTGTCTGAGCTCACGGGTTCGAGACCCACCTGGGCAACTTGGTGAGACCTCATCTCTACAATAAATCAAAATCTGCTGGGCGTGGTAGTACGCGCCTGTAGTTCCGGCTACTCGGAAGGCTGAGGCGGAAGGATCGCTGGAGCCCAACAGGTCGAGGCTGCGGTGGTCAGGAGCGGCCACTGCACTCCAGTCTGGGCGACAGAGTGAGACTCCAACTCAAAAAAAAAAAAAAAATTGTTTGAACAGGGCTTGGTGGCTTTCACCTGTAATCCCAACACTTAAGGAGGCTGAGACAGGAGGATCACTTGAACCCAGCAGTTCAAGACTAGCTTGGGCATAGTGAGACCCTGTCTCTACCAAAAAATAAACAAAAATTACTTTTCTGAGTTGAGGTCTTACTCTGACCCAGGCTGGAGTATAGTGGTATGATCATAGTTCACTGCAGCCTCAATCTTCTGGGCTCAGAGGATCCTTTCCCCTCAGCTTCTTGAGTAGCAGGACTACAGGAGTGTGCCACCATGCCTAATTTTGTGTGTGTAGAGACGTCTTGCTATGTTGCCCAGGTTGGTCTCTAACTCCTGGCCTAAACAGTCCTCCTGCCTTGGCCCATGCTCTTACATAGTTTCTGAGAGAGCTGGTTTTATTTTATTTTCAAGTTGGAGTCTCACTCTGTCACCTAGACTGGAATGCAGTGACAC